GCTGAAGGTGCACAACCCGAATCTAATCCTCAGGAAATAATAGACAAACCCCAATTATTCTATAAAACAACTGGCCAATAATTTCCAAAAATGTCAAGGTCAAAAAGCAAAATACATCCTGAGGAAATGTTCCAATTTAAAGAGTAAAGAGACTTGCCCAGCCGGCGTGGCTCAGTGGTTGAGTATCAACCTAGGATCAAGGTTCGATTCCCGGTCAGGGCACATGCCCAGGTAGTGGGCTTGCTCCCAGCAGGGGGTGTTTGGGAGGCAGCCGATCAAAGACTCTCTCTCATCATTGATGTTTCTATCCTTCTGTTTTCCTCTCTCTCTGAAATCAATAAAAATATATATTTTTAAAAAGACTAAAGAGCCTTGACAACTAAAAGCAAATTGTGATCCCAGAAAAGAGCTATAAAGGACATTACAGAAACAGTTGATGAAATTTGCATATGGGCTACGGATTAGATAATACTATTGTGTCAATGTTAAATTTTTTATATTGGTAATTGTATTGTGGTTGTGTAAGAAAATGTCCTCGTTTTTAGAAAATAAATTCTGAGAAGTATAAAGATAAAGGGTGTGAAGGGGAGCAGCATACACCACCCCAAAATGTGCCACTTTGACATGTGGATTATTTTGAGCTGAAGGCAAACAAGATCCCACAGACTCAGGAAGAACTTTTACTTCTCCTTTAACTGCCTAAAATAATTTAGATAGGGGACGTGTACCAGAAAGAGCTATATTACCAGAGATAATTTTTTTATCTGAAAGACTTACCTGCATGGCAGGCCAAACCTCTAATTACCAAACATCTCCTCTTCTCTCCTTCCTGTGAATTGCTGTTCTCCCCTTTGAAACCCAGACCTCTATCCCGTTCCTAAGTTCAGGATGGTGCATAAGCCTCAGTTGCCTAACTGCCTTTGGGTCTCATATTTTTATGGGGCTTCTTTACATACAAAATTAAATTTACTTTCTTCTGTTAATCTGTTTTATATCAATTTAATTATTAAGCCAGCCAAAAAACCTAAACTGGAAGAAGAAAAAATTTTCCACCCCTACAATGTTAAATTAATTAAATAGGAGGCCATTAGACTGAAGTGATTCTAATGCTCCTGAGCCTACAAAAGCAAACCAAAATTTAAGCCTGTAAAGGCCTCAAGGTTAAGGAATCAAAACCTTAGAACGACCTATCACAAACAGACAACTAGGCTTTTTTCAACTGAGGCAAATGCTTAATCCATAGCCCATCAAATACAGTTGATCCTTGAACAACACAAATTTAAACTGCATGGGTCCACTGACATGCAGATTTTTTTTTCAATAAATATATTGGAAATATTTTTGGAGATTTCCTTAATACCATGAAGCAATCCTATCAGTTGCACTAAGCTTTGCTGCTGCTTCGTTATCAATGCATGAATTCGATGAGTATCAATTCACTGTTCAATTCAAATTGATTTTTGCTCAAGTAAACTTTTAAAAATTTTAATATGCCTCAGTTTATCTTTTAACAAGGGCCATAATGTCTGCAGCTTACTTTCAAAGCTTACTCTCTAGTGATTTAGAAAAAACAGAGTGAATGATAGAGCATGTGGGGAAAGCATAAGCAATCAATGGATGTGGATAGGGCTATGAGTGCCTTGGAGATATATATAAATATATATATTCCTTGTTCAGAAATTTGCAATGTTTTTGTAAGCTTAAATTTTTACCTACATAAGAAGTTCTAAAGAGTATGACATAGTTGAAGCAGTTTTACTCACTTCTATAAGAGTATTAAAGGTAAAAGAGAACTGATGAGTTAAAATGTTAAAACTATTTTATCAGTCTTGGGGGTCTCTATCAAACTATTTTCCTTTGTATTACCAGGACTTCTGGCAGTAAAATGCCCTCATTAAATTGGCATAGGTCCAAAAAAGTTCAACAAGATCCAAACAGGAAATGCTAAGAGCCCTCTAGTGACTACTTCAACCCGGGCTCTGAAAGTAGCTTTAGAAAGTTAGCTTAGACTGTCAAATATTTATTCTAGAAAACTAGCAAGACATTTTCTTAAACAGCTGTTGGACACACTATGAGTTATTGGTCTTCAAATATCTGAGTAGAGTGTAAAGAGAGACAAAAAGCTCTGAGCACCTGCTAAGTGTCAGTGGCATTAGGAAACGAAGGAATAGAGAGGTTATTACGTTCACCAACGTCAAACGTTACGGAAGTGATAGAACTAGAAATTGGACCAAGGTGCCTTTCTCAAGAGCCCACATACTATTCACCAAATAATCTGCTTCTAAGACAGTATAGTTCATAGATCCATAGATATTTTATAGAGTACTTCAATTTCATTGTCAACACAGCCCTGGAAGATGGGTGTTATCTTCACTTTTATATACAAACAGAATGAGATGAAGAACCAACATGACTTGTTCAAAATTCACAAAAGCTAGAAAGTCATGGAGGCAAAATGTCAACAGTCTGTGCGCCTTTAAAACCCACACCCCTTTTACCCATCAAGACTGCACAAATAGGTCACATTTTGAAGAACTGAGTATAATCAAGAAAATAATAACTGAGTAAACCCCAAGCTCTAAATTAACTAATATTAAATTATCTCATGAGAACTTGAATAAAATAGCCCTCAAGGCAAGAGTTATTAATGATTCTAAACATTGTCAGAAAACTTTTTTTTAATTTTAATTTTAAAATGTATGCACACTCCCACACCAAATCTCTGGCCTTTTCTTACCCCATTTTATTTGTTAGTATTCTATCTCTGTCCTCCCTCCCTCTCTGTTTCTGACCCTCCCTCTTTCCCTTTCTTCCCTTCTCCAGAGTATAAAAAGGTCACAAAGTTTCCGGCTGCCCCCTAGTGGTTTTATTCCGGGAATGGCAGCCACCTTAGGAAATTTAAAATCTTTATAGGCAATAATAAAAGGACACTTTTAATCCTTTAGAGTTTTTGGAGACAGTGGGCCACAGGGGTAAGAGGAAAGGGCCTGTTATCAATGGCAAGTTATTTAACCTCACAGTGCCTCAGCAAATGCACCCGAGAAGTAAACCTTTCCAGAGTTGCCTTGTGGGTTGAGACAAACACAGTAAACCATCTTGAAGGACAGTACACTCCCTATAAAGGGTGATTATTACTTACTTTTGACAATTCTATAAAGTTGAGTAAACTGAGGCTCAGCACAGGTTACTCTTTTTTTTTTAAATATGTCTTTATTGATTTCAGAGAGAGCAAGGAAGAGAGAGAGATAGAAACATCAGAGAGAGATAGAGTCATTGATCGGCTGCCTCCTGCTCGCCCCACACTGGGGATCGAGCCCGCAGCCCGGGCATGTGCCCTGACTGGGAATCAAGATACAACCTCCTGGATCCTAGGTGGACGCTCAACTGCTGACCCACACCGGGCCGGGTGGTTACTCATTTTTTTAACTTAACTCAACCAGAAAGCTATAGAACTAGACCCAAGTTTTCAGGCTCTAATTCTAGTTCTCTCCATACTTCAGTATCTCAAAGTAACAGTTGAGAAATTCCACTTAGCTGTATGAGGAATCATGTTCTATTCACTAATCAACCTGCTTCTAAGACAGCATCATCCCTGGATCCACCCCATATTCTGTTACATGGTAGCACCTATGGTGGAATATTGTACAACCATACAAAATTATGTTTTCAGTAAGTATTAAATTATATGAGAATGTGCTTACATTAAAATGTTAAGGGGAAAAAACAGAATTCAAAATTGCATACTGTATTATTTCAGTCCTAAAATGCGTGTGTATGTGTGTGTGTGTGCATATAAAACAAAAATCTAAACCTAAATAGTTCCTTTCTCCAGGCTATGGGTTATGAGTAATTTTGTTTTCTAGATAGTCTGAACTTTTGTAATGAGACAGAACTGCTGTGATCATCAGAAAATTTAGATTAAAAATATTTTAGGGTGTCCCTGACAGGATAGCTCAGTTGGTTAGTGTCCTGATATGCCAAGGTTGTAGGTTTGATCCCTGGTCAGGCAACATACAAAAATCAACCCATGAATGCATAAATAAGTGGAACAACAAATAGATGTTTCTCTCTCCCTCCCTCTCTCCCTCTCCCATCTTATCTCTCTTACATCATTAAATACATTTTTAAAATATTTTAGGGTGCTTAAAAAAATACCAGAATTTCCAAGAACAAGATTCAGTTTCCACTCTGTGGTAAAATAATGAATCAGGAAGGGTGAATGGAAGAGATTTGCAAGAAAAACAAGGATTGGGAATAGAGGAAGGATGTTCAGACTAGAACGGGAAGTGCCTATGAGAGACTGTTAATCAGAGCACCAGTGCTGGGCTCACTTAGCATTGGAGCCTGCTTTTAATTGATGTCAGCTGTTCAGAGGCTGTCTTCTGACAGCAGTCATCAGGATTCACTACAGACTGAAAAAGTATGCATGGAGGATCTGATGCCTGCCCTGATAGGAAGACCTATGACCCCAACAGGTGTAATTTCTGGTTTGGAGAGTTCCAAAGGTATCTTGAAAAAGCAGCGAAAACAGCCTTCTTTTGGTCAGTAACCCTAAAAGGCTTGCTGCTTTATGATAGTCCCCTCTGGGAAGGGCCTATCGGCAGCACCAGATGGGGTTGACAAAGGCCCATCTTGAGGTGGCACCTTCCCAGCAAACCTGCAGGAGCCAATCATATCACTCACAGTGAAAGCCTGCCGATCAAGATAATGTCATTTGGCCTCAAACACTGTACCGTGTGTGCCTTCTCCTGCCTCCCTGAGCAAGTTGAGGCTGAACTTCTGAGCCTGATTCTCAACATGCCTTTCAAATTCCTCTGCATACAGATTAGATAAAGGTTGGGCTTTTTTAATTGGAAACTACCATCAGTTCACTTTAGAACTCCTTGTTTGGTGCACAAGTCTGGCTATTTCAGAGACATCAGCTCTGCAGTGAAGTTGGAGTTGATCTCTTTCCTCAGAAAAACTGCTAGTTGGTGATGTCAACAGAAGTCTCAACATAAACATTAACAAGGAAGGTTCTTGCTGAGACTCACGGATAGAACAGCCCAAAGGAGAACTGGGAGAACTCATTTCAGGATGAAGCTGCAAGAGCAAAGAAGTACATTTAGCACAAACAAATGTTGTCCGTTGACCAACAGATGCAGGAAGATTCTTCTCCCAACAGCTGCAGCTCCTGTGACGGGAATCTGGCTCCTTCGAGCGCAGCTTCCTCTCCTGCTGCTGTTCGCTGGCCTGCAGAGACCCACGGTGAGTTCCCAGGAAGGGCTCAATTGAGGAGGTGATCTCTCTATGATTAAAGCTCCAACAGAGCTTTCTCCTGGTGACATTCCTTTTTTTTTTTTTTTTAATATGTTTTTATTTATTTCAGAGAGGAAGGGAGAGGGAGAGAGAAACATCAATGATGAGAGAAAGTCATTCATCAGCTGCCTCCTGCACGTCCCCCACTGGGGATCGAGCTCGGAACCTGGGATGTGCCCTGCCCGGGAATCGAACTGCGATCTCCTGGTTCTTGGGTCTACGCTCAACCACTGAGCCACGCCGACAGGCTCCTGCTGACCTTTCAATGACATTTAGGCACTTGGATCTGATTTCATTCAGATATCTTAAGTTTGCTAGAAAAGAGTGGAAAACAATTTTTTAAAACTGAAATTCTTTACAGTTTATAAATCTGGCATGGAAGCTAGAGGCATGGTATTATTTTCTGGATTCTCCACAAAACTTAAGTTAAAACATTGCTTTTGTAGGACAAATAATGTAAAATTAACCAAGCCTATTTGGTTTTTGACTGTATTGTATGGATCAACTCAAAAGAAGCATTATAATTTAAAGTTCCACATAAGGAAAACAGCCTAATCTTTTAAAATAACAGACTACATATTTGACATCTAGTAATATAATAGTTTTAGAGTTTATCATAATGATGATTTGACAAAAATGTGATATTATTTATTTTGTTTTGTTTTGGCTTTAATAGATTCTCTAGATTTGCTTGTAAAGTTGCTGTATAGAGTTATTGGTTAAAATTATTTAAGCAGTCTTAATATTTTTTCTAATTTATACACATTTAGATGATTTAACATAAATAACAGTAAAAATACCAAATGGTGTCTTTTGAGTTTCAGCCACAACATCCTTGACATTGACTGGATGGAACTGTATCTCTTAATATATTCCTTAATGAGTCCAGTTTATTAGAAAAGCATCATTTCTTTGTCAAGCAAGAAACATCTTGGGATTGAGATCATTGAAATGTGGCTCTACATGATGGACTGATGGCATTTAGTGAACTTGTATTCAAACTCTAACTTCAGTTTACTATGCACTAGGTATCAATAAGTAAAAATTCAATTGGTTACCCATTAGAAAATGTGTTTTTCCCACTCCTGATTTCCAAGAGGAGTGACTTTTCTAGGCACACTCCCTACCACTGTCCAACTCTTTACGCCCTCTGCTACCCTGGAGGTGAGGAAATTTACTTGATTGGTAACATAAGGAAGAATAACTGGTTATGCTCAGCTTGACACCGCTTTTCTTCCTCCTGGGAGCTAAGCTGATGGCAAAGGGCAGGAGTCCTGCTTCTCCATGACAAGAATCTTACGTGTGTAAGCTGCATTCAGTACTATCTGTAGCTGAGTGGGAAAGTCTACCTGATCCTGGGGTTTATTCCCAACAAGCACATTCATCATCGGACCTAAAGATGTGTGCCTCGCCCGGCCAGTTGCCCGCTCGATCCCCAGGAGGAGGTGTGCAGGAGGCAGCTGATCAATGGCTCTCATCATTGATGTTTCTATCTCTTTCTGTCCCTCTCCCTTCCTCTCTCTGAAATCAATAGAGACATATTTTAAAAAGATGTGTGCCCCAACATGACATGATTCATTAATAAAAATGATATTTTAGCCTCCATATTTGCTCTTGTTTTCTCAAATTTTTTCATAACCTGAACAGAAGAGAGGTCTGTTATTTCCTGGGGATCCCCCGGAGGACCCAACATTATTCATCACTTGAGAATTACAGATTTCCACCTCCCACCCCCCACCACTTAAGTCTTTCTTAAATAAAGCTCAAAGGCTTAATATAGCTTTCAGGTATTTATAAAAGAGATAGTCCTCAAAACACCCATGAGGGAATGTGAAAGGGGTCCACAGAGGAAATAGAAAGTATAACTAAACTTTAAGGTTATTAATTGTTTTCTTCAACATACCTAATATGCAAAAATAAAAACATTCTGATTTTGGTGATACAAAAAATGTCACTTCCTCCCTGGGAAGATGAGCATCTTTGAGCTTTCAGTGATATTTATCAAACAGAATTCAATCTCTAACACAGGTCACTGATACAAGAAGGACTGGAGCAGTGTATGATTCTGAGTGAAACTTACTTCAACAAATACTTGTTTTGAGGAGATGGTCTTACAGAGTACAGAAAATCTGCCATCAGATTCACCATCCTATTTTAAAAATTACAATCAAGATTTTTCTTTTCTTATAGGTTGCGATTAAAATCAACTTTGACTTGGCACCAGATTCCTTTGATGATCAATACCAAGGCTGTAGCCAACAGGTCATGGAGGAGCTAAATGAAGGGGATTATTTCACAAAAGAAGTAGAAGCTCCGAAGAATTATCACTCGGCCTGGCACAATGCCCATTTGACCTGGCTGAGCCGAGCTACAACTCTCCCTAAGAACATGACGATCACACATGCTGTGGCCATCATGGTTTACACATTGAACAACAATGTTCGTTCTGAATTCTCTAGAGCCATGGCCAGCACTGCCAGGTCTGCATGGCAGTATAAACATTCATTCCATTTCAAATTCCTACATTACTACCTGACCTCAGCAATCCAGCTGCTAAGGAAAGGGACCCTCGGGGAGAATGACTCTCTGTGCTACAACGTGCATCATGAGGCTGATTTCTCCTCGGAAGCCTATATAGGTGCCACCCTTCGATTTGGCCAGTTCCTCTCCACCTCCCTCTTAAGGAAAGAGTCGCAGAAGTTTGAGAACCAAACTCTATTTACCATACTTACCTGCCTGGGTGCACCTGTACAACGCTTCTCTCTCAAGGAAGAGGTCCTGGTCCCTCCCTATGAGTTGTTTGAAGTTGTCAATATGAGCTACTACCCAAGAGGAAATTGGTTGCAATTGCGGTCAACTGGAAATCTGAGCACATATAACTGTCAGCTGCTAAAAGGTATTATTATTGATATAAATTGAATTCACTCTTATCAGGATCACAGACTTATTCTTTTATAAAAATATTTTTTTCTGAGTGGGCTTAGGGGGAAAGAACGAAAACATAGAAATTGGCCTTTAGTAATGGCGGAACTGACAGATTAAAAAAAAACAATTTATTTCTTGGTTTCCCCTCTCTTCTTCCTCCTTAACTACCTCTAGGAAAATGTATTTCTGCAATGACACTAATATATGGGGCATTCTAGATGAGAGAGTAAACCTCTACTGGAAAAGATAGTGCATAAAATATAGCATCTTTCCTTTCTCCCTCAAACTCATTTTTTTTGTTATGATCATTTTATACATAAGGAGTGCTAAAAGCAAAGCAGGAGGCATGACTCATGGGTTCACTCTTATCTATTAAGCGTCTTCTATGTTCCAGGAACTGGCATAGGAGGCCCCAGGCAAAGAAAAGGAATAAAGCAGAACTACTCTCCTAGGAGGATTTTTAGTCTAATGAGAAATGGAAATATGAGCAATATCTACACACAAAAGTACAAAGTAACACACCTGACGTTTAAGCAATGGTTGTGGCTGCTCAGTGTATGAAGCTACTCATTCCCTCTGGGGAAAGTGAGGAAGACCTCATAGTAGAAGACAAAGTGGGACTTGTAGAATGGGAGTTTTCAGTGAGAGAAGAAAGAAAAAGTCATTTCAACCAGCAAACAGTATGTACTGAATCACAGAGATTTCAAACAGCCTAGTGCCTTCAGGGAATCTCCAAAATTCTGGATGGCTGCAATGTAGGAAGTGCAGGACATAGGCGGGGACCAGGAATAGAAAGAGAGCAGGAGAGTGAGTGGGTCAGGAGAGTTCTGATGGGTCCTGACTGTAAAAACTCCTGTATTCCACGCTCCGGACTTGCAAACTTCATGCCGTGTGGATGGAGGTAATGAGAAGTCACTAGAAGTTTTTAAGGAGTGGAGCATCAATTAAATTGGTATTTTAGCAAGAGTTCTGATGATTTTGTGGAAAATAAACTGAAGCAGAAGAAATTAGAGATAACACATTACAAAAAAAATGTGTTAAGCTCTTTTTTTAGAAAAACACATGGCTGATTCCATTTTGTCCTTGTAGGTTGCCAGCCACAGTCATTTCGCAGAGCAGTAGTTCTGTAGCAAACACTGGGCCTTATTTGATTCAGAGGGAAAGGGAAAGTCCTTATCCGTATGTGCAGTTGTTTACTCCCATCCCAGCTGTAAGGATCGTTAGTTTGGGTGGGAGGGTCTGCCTTTGAAATACCACTGAATCTTTCTCTGCTCCATCATTGCCGCTGTTATTAACTCGGGCTGTCAGCATTTCTCAAGCTTTCAGAGCTGCAGTGTCACAAAGGGCCTTGAACTGGCTTCCACGCTGAGGTCTAGGGCCTGCTCACTCTGGCACTAGCCCAGGGGAAGGGCAACCTACCACATTTTTTTCTTCCCCCCTTCTCCTTGGCCATATGGCAGGCAGCCATGTGAGTGAAATGCAAATGTACCCCCACAGATCCAAGAGATTAGTGTTTGCAGAGGAGAATGAATAACTTAGATTAGAATCTAAATAAAACAAAGGTTTGATGATAAATGAGAACATTTATAGCCAGGTTCCAGGATTCTTTGGAAATACACCTGACTAGGACACTGTTGCTTCATTCTCATCGTGAATTTGACACAAATAACTTTTCTACTAGGTTAATGAGCACAGTAAAATATATTAAGTGAAAAATCGTAGAACATTTACATCAAGGAGTAGGAAACCGAGGGAGAAGAATATATACTAGAACTATTACCTATGCTCTGACACTCTGTAAGTCTCAAAGAAAAATAGTTCAAGACCTTCCCACCCAGACTAATGATCTTTGCTTTCCTGTGGTGAAACTACTCCAACACAACTTTAATTTGGTTTTGAGTTAAGGCTTAGTGGGGTGTAAGCCATGCATATTACTAGATTCTGGAAGTTTGGCTGGTCTTGATAACTTATTTGAAATCATGAATCATACTTAACGGAATCAGTCATCTTATGCTGCTCTGTAAGCTTTTTGTGGGCAGGGACTTGACTACACAGTATTTAAGAGCTTGCGCAGAATTCAGGCAGTTTGACCTCAGATCCACCCTGTCTGGGTTTGTATCAGCTTGTATCACTTTTTAGCAGTGTTCTCAGTCAAGCTGCTTAAACTATCTAAGTTTCTGCATTTACATAATGAGCATCATAATAGAACCCTACAGGCTCTTGTGAAGATAAAATACTAAATTATTTCTATACTCCTTAGCATACAATAAAAGGTAAATAAGTGTTAACTATTATTAACTTTAGTCCCTTGGCACACATTTGTTGAATAAATGAATGAATAAACGAAGCATTCTCTTTCATGTCTCTAAGTGAGCTGGGCCTTGGGTCAGATGACCATATAACTCAATTGTCTAAAAACAGTTCCAATATTTGCTAGAAAGGGAAAATATTCTACAAGGTTCAACCCCTAGTTAAGACTAAGAAGCTGTAGCCATAATGTTAATGACCTGAAATGTGGTCATTTGCAATGTGACCTTTCATATCTATATTTTTCTTAGAAATTTGCCAATTGGCAGCTTGTGCAGCCTTGGGAAAAGAAATTTAAATGGCAGAGTAAAAATACCACTGGTTTTAAAAGTCTATATGCTGTTCAAAGACATTGTACCATAGACCAAGAGCTGGAACTGGAGTGTCTTCCCAGCCAACACAGCTATAAAACTATGTGGGAGAGCCTAAGAGGGAGAGGATAATCTTGAGCATCAAGGATGACATTTGTCCCTTGACTCTGGACTCTGGCTGAAAGTTGAAGAGAAGGCTGCTTCACCCTCGGGCTCCACCTTACCTAAGCCTCATCTACCACTGGTTCGTTGTTAGCACAGTCACTTTAGTTGAAGACAAAAAGACTGTATAGATTTGGAATGGTCACAGCAAATATCCACCTAGCTCTACTAAAAAAAAAAAATTAAGTTTTTGATTGGCTTCAGAATATTTTCAGCTATTAACTGCAATGTTTTTTCTCAATGAGTAAGCTATGTCTGAGACTTTCCTTAAGTAATTTCTGTTAACTGATAAATAATATTCTATTTATCTCAACATCCTGGACCTGTATTGGGTTGAACCATATATGAAGACTGGGAGGAGGGAAGTGATGTGTTTTCTTATCTGGGAATCCTTCACTGGGACGGACTGAGATCAATGTACTATAGGAGAAGAAAAATAATTTTCCCTCTACCCTAGGTTCTAGGTTCTTGGCTGAGACTCCCCCTCCCACCATAATAAAAAGACAGATTAACAAGAAAAAAAATTTAACTTCATACATACAGGAGCCTCACAAAAATATGAGACTCAAAGGCAGTCAAGCAATTAAGCCTTAAAATGTTTTAAAGAAAGGGACAGGGATCTGGGACTTCAAAGGGGAGGAGTACAATTCATAGGAAGATGAGAAGGGTAAATGTTTGGTAAACTAATGTTTGCCTGCCATTCAGATAAGTCTCTCTGATATAAAAAGTGATCTCTAGTAGTAGCTCTCTTCCTGATGCAGGACCCTGTCTAAATTCTTTGAGGCAGTTAAGGGGGTGGTAAAAGCTTTTCCTGAGTCTGCTGGGCCTTGGTTGCCTTCAGCTCAAAATAACCATTATGCCAAAGTAGCATATTTTGGGGTGACATATTCTGCACCCCTTCAGTCTCCTCATCAGACCTGATTTTCCATAAAACTGCTATTGCCCACTACACTTCTCCCAGTCACCTGGACTCTAGGATTCACCTCAGCCTAGAAAATTCACAGATGGTATTAAGGAATAATGATATCCAATTCTTCATGACACTGGGGTCATCTCAGGAGACTTTCTTGTCCTTTCCATTTTTCTACTAGCAGAAGCCATAAGCTGTTCTATGTCCCAAAAAGTCCCTATGAGCCAGTCACTTATGTTTCCTCTCCTGTTCCCTCTCGACCTGGGAAACTTGATATTTGAAAGCCAACATGAACACCTTTACAACTGGCCAGCCAGGACACTGTAATTCTCCCAATGAAGAGACAGTAGATTGAAGAGTATTCCAGTCCTTCAATTTATTTCAAAATTGGTTCTGTTAACTTGCAACTGCAGTTCTCAAGTTCACAGTGCTCCCAGAAATCTGTTGCCTTCAGAGAGCTGAGAAGTCAAATTAATAGTATAATATATTTAAGGAAGTGAATTTTCAAAAGAAAAATTGTTTAAGACATTCTAAACTAACAGCTTTCCCTTCTAATTCTCCTCTCACCCCTCACATGGCCACTACTGGTTACCATAGAAACAGATGTTTTCAGGCCCATGGAGAGACTCAAAGTATGTTGTTAGTTACTTGCCCTTAAATGTTTCTTCTTCAGCATAATAATCTGTGCCAAAACTCTGTAGATACACAAATACATGCTCTGTTCTGTATCACTGAATTCACAAAGAAGAGGGATTTATTTGTTAAAATGTTTAACATAATTGAAATTCTTAAGCATGTTCCTGGAAAAAATATAGTCAACTGTTTGTAGTAAGCCTGTTTTTACATGTTAACCTTGCTAGTTGCTAGCAGTGAAAACATGGGCAAATGGCTTAGTCTGTCTGTGCCTGTTTCTTTACAGATAAAATAATTTTTAAAATAAAACCTACCTTATAAGATTCTGAGGAGTAAACACACTTAGAATAGCATCTGACACATATAAGTAAGTACTCAAAACTTTTTAGCTGCTGTTACCATTATTACTATTTGTTTTATTAACTTCCTGTTTCCTGTTTTCTTTTACTCTGAGCTTCAAGTTTCCCAAATTAGTTTTATCTATTTCGGCATCACCTTCACCTTGAAGTAGAATGCCTCTCTCAGACACACGGATGACAAAGTGAGCATGTCATCGAATGAATCCAGGAGATGACACGGCATGGTGGAAAGAGAATAGACTTCTGAGCCAATAAACGCTGGGCATATGTTATTAGCTATGTGGCCTTGTGTCAATGACAAACTCTGAGCCTGTCCCTTCATTTATAAAATGGGGGCAATACTTGCCTAGAGGAACTGTTGTGATAGCAAGCAATATCCACCCTCTCAAACACAACTGAAAAACTCCAGGAAAGTACTGTGCACATGGAAGTGGAATAATAGTTCAATGGGGAAAAATGTGTGCTTCAGTAATATTTACAATAAGAATAGAAACAAAGTGTTATCGGTGGGTTCCCTCTGTGTCCCTGTCTGCTACCAGTGGAAGTGGAGTTCTTGCGATGTCACAAGGAAAGGAATTTCCTTGAGACTCACACAGGAGGATGAGTGATCTTTATATCCATGGAATTAAACACACGGGTTTCTCATCCCACTGTATTCCCTGACAACAGTTATTTTGTATTCAAGTTTTGCTTCCATCAGCCATACCTAACTGGCTGTTAACCTTTCCCTAGTTCCTGTGAAGGGCTTGTATGTGTAGGCAGTTCACACACTCACACACTCACACACACCCCAACCAGGAGTGTGACTACTTTCTGCTCATCTTATAATTTTAAAAAATTCTACGAGGACATGAAACATATGGAAAGACAATACAGTGGTTAAAAATATAGAGTTAAGCCCTGCCGGGCGTGGCTCAGCAGTTGAGCACCAACCTAGGATCCGAAGATCACCTTTCAATTCCCGGTCAGGGCACATGCCCCAGTTACGGGATTGGGGGCCGATCCCCAGTTGGGGGCGTGCAGGAGGCAACCAATCAATGACTCTCATCACTGATGTTTCTATCTCTCTCCCTCTCCCTTCCTCTCTCTGAAATCAATAAAAATATAAAAGAGAGTTAAGCCAGACTGCCTGTTTGAATGCTGCCTACACTACATACTAGGCGTATGATGTTTGAGAAATTTCTCCACCTCTCTGTGTCACAGTTTTATTAAGTAAAAAATGAGGATAATGAGAATAACTACCTCAAAAGGTTGTTGTGAGGATTAAATGAGTTAATTTATAGCAAGTGCTTAAAACAGACCCTAACACAGAAGAAACTACTTGCCCAGTGTTAGCTTTCATAACGGTGATGAAGATGGTGATAATTAAGATGGGGTTAATGGTGGTGGCGGTCATGCTGATGATAATAATAAAGACTGAAAATCAGGAGATCTCTCCCCCCAACTAGCCTGGTAACCGGAAATAAGTCTCTTAACCTCTTGGTGCCTGTTTCATCATCTGCAAAATAGGCCAGCTGAGTTCTGTTCATTAGAAATATCTGAGAATACTTTTTACAAAGTAGCTAACATCAGATATTTTTATTAGAAATTTTCTAAGTTAAAAAAAATGAATCAAAGAAGAAATTGGGTAGGATTTTGTTTTGTTTTTTATTAAATCTCTGCCACCTAAAACATCTCTTTTTTGTTTGTTTTTACAGCTTCCAGCAAAAAGTGCATCCCTGCTCCTGTAGTTATTGCTGCTCTCTTTTGGATTATTGTCACCATCTCTTCCAAAAGTGGAATATAAAGGAACCTTGTCAGTTTGCTTTTCCTGAACCCTTTTGCTTTATTCCAGTCAGGGCACCCTGAATATCCCTACAGAATCACTCTGCTCTGCCCTCACCCCACCTCCCAACCCCTAATTGATGCCGAGCTGGCTCAGCCCGTTGCCTATGTGTGGGCCTATAACTCAGTGTGTTTCTTCTCCATGTACACACAGATCCACATTGGAGTAGAAAATAACCTCGTCAGAGTCTATGAGATAAATTCAGGGCACTTTTTTGGCATTGTGTTTAGGAATGGGGTGGGGCCTTTTTTTTGAGTGGGGATTAATACCTCTGTAAAAATGCAGCTAACATAGTAAAAGAAGAGCTAAAAGATGAAGAAAAAAACTGAGTCTGGATGAGAGTGTACAAGGCTCTAGATCCAATTGTTCTCGAAACTGCATCCCGCGGGCTTTTTCATTACATGAATCAATAAACCATATTTTTGCTTNTTGTTCTCGAAACTGCATCCTGCGGGCTTTTTCATTACATGAATCAATAAACCATATTTTTGCTTAAATAATTTGAATTAAACTTTTTATTTCAAGTAATCAGAGGAGTTATGATGAACATAAGGACACTCCTAAATAAGAAAAAAATCAGAGAATTTTGCATTAGAAAGCAAAGGACAAATTCTTCATTAAATGGAAAAGCTTTTAGCCCCAGAGACATAATTAAGGAATGAATTTTCTTCAGAGATTTTTATTAGTATTAAAGATCAAATTAATGAGGTCTCAGATGGGAGGAAACATGGAAACTTGAGAAATACAAAGGAAAGATGGTAGTAAACTCTCACTCATTGCCAGTAATGGGGTACTGCATACATGTTTCTAAACTATTACAAAAGTTAAAACTTAAACTCATACATTAATTTTCAGAGAATTTATGGAAAATTGGATTTTAAGTATTCATCGAAAATTTACATATTTTAAGAAAGCATTGGATGTGTGTGGAGATAAAGTCAAAGATTTGGGAGGAAAAAAACATCCAATTACCAAACAGATAGCAATGATACATTGAGTCCCCATTATGTGCAGACAGTTGGATAAAAAGAAGTATAAATCAATGAACTTCACAGCTGGGAATGTTCTCCACTCTTCTCTCCAGTAGTATACAATATGTGAGGCAATGGGGGGGGGGGG